GGTTTCTGACCTGTGTAGGCGGGATGTAAACAGTGTTGAGCAGGAGGCAACCAGATGCTGTGGGATAGACTGGCAGAGAAGGATCATGGTCTTCCAAAGATGAAGAATTGAAAGCGTCTTTGAGAGTGACAGAAATTGTGTGGCAACATGCAGTGCCCCCCCAAGTAACTTTGGGACTGACAGGTAAGCGAAGGGTAAATTAACTGGTAATTCTTCACTATAAAACACTGTGTTAGCCTTTAATTACAGATGTCCCAGGAATGTGGCTACGGTACCTCACCAACTCTCCTTTTAGCAACTTTCTTTACATAAAGAGAACATGTGTGAGTGTGAAAGAGAAGTAGTTTGGTTGGTTGTCCTCTTTATGGGTTGCTCATAAGTAAACGGATCATGTGGTGAGGCAGCTTTGCTGTGCTTTGGAAAATGAATTGTCCTTTGAATTCCAAATGTTTCCTATGAAAAAAAACCTAAAAAAAAAATCCGCCCAGACAATTATCTTTGTCCCTGCTGCACTCTGTTCTCCTTATTAGACATTTCCCACACCATTTCCCAGTAACAGCCTCCCTGTCATGTCCTTTGCTTTGCTTTTTCCCAGTGTACAGACTGGGACACTCATTGAGAGCAGCCCAGTGGAAAAGGACTTGGAGGTTCTGGTAGACAAAAAGTAGGACATGAGCCAGCAGCGTGTGCTTGCATCCCGGAAGATCAACTGTATCTTGGGCTGATTCAGCAGAAAAGTGGCAGTAGGGAGAGGGAGGTGACTGTCCCCCTCTGCTCTGCCCTCATGAGGCCCCATCTGTGTGTAGGACAAAATCCATAGACATGCTGTCAGTGTTTACAGCCACGTTGACTGTTCTTGTTCTGACCCTCCCTATATCAGCATAGTTCTGCTATACCACTACTGAAAACATGGGGATAGGTAGCCCTCTCAACCCACAAGAGAGTTTGCTTTCTTACTCAGCAACCCTCAGCATTGCTGAGTGTCTTGATGCCCCACCTCCGCTCACCACACAACTTGTCTACAAGTCCAACCACTCATCTTCCTGCTGTTAGGGAGGAACTGCCATGCACCTTGTTGCTCTGGAATTCCCATGCTTGTGGCTGGGTGTTTGGAAGCTGAATCTTCTTCACCGGCCCACCTCCTGCTCCTCCCTTTCAGAGCACCAATTTCCCACCAGAGAATCCCACCTTGTTCTGCCCATTAGCACTGTTTGCAGGCATCTGCACCTATGGCGCACTTTCATCCAGAGTGGAGTGTGACCAAAGGGAGTATGGTTCTCTAGTACTCTGAGAGGGGATTGCAGGAGCACTTGAGATGCAGGAATCCATCTCCCTGGAATTTCTGTGCTTGTATGTTTGGTTCAGCTGGAGGCCATTCCCATGAGGATTCACGTGTCTGCCTGTGTCTTGGAAGGATACCTGAAATGAGCTGCTCTCACACTGGGGCACAGTGAGACACACCACAAGGCTCTGACAGTGGCTGAGGCCAGCATGCTCTCTGGGGACTTTCTGACACCATCCAGGTGTTGCTCTTTCCGAGCTCCAGCTGACAGACAACAACAAATCATGCTGGATCACACAAACAGTGTCTAAAAAGGAAGACTTGTTTTAACTCACACTGCTGTCTCTGGGGGATGCTTCCTCCAAGAAGTGGTGCTGCTAGCTGATGGCACCAGGCAGCCTTTGCACTGCTGGCTGGGACTTGTTGCAACATCCTTAGCAGCTGAGTGCACGCAAGTGAATTTAATGTGCAGGCCCAGCCACATCTGTGGTCACGATAAATAGTACAGTGCTGAAGGGGTGCAAGGGAATACTGGTAGGTTCCTAATTAAGCACTTAAGTTACTAGGTGCCACCTGCTTTCTGCATGGTCATGGTACCTGTATTACAATCCGTGACAAGAGGGATGATACAACATTCAGAACTTTCTTCAGGCAAGTGGGCAAGTGTTTCCAAATAGGAGGACAGAGATCCCTTTACCTCCTATTTGGCAACTCATATGTTCCATTTGGCAACCTACTGGTTGAGCCAGTCGTCCTGTGGAGAAGACTTTGTGCTTGTGGGATGGAGAGGCTTTTGTCTTTGCCTTTGCCCATTGTTTTTGCCCTTGTCCTTAGCAGCCTGGCAGGCTCTAAGCAGTTCTGTACAGTGTAAGCACTGGGGCCTGGAGTGAGCAAATTCCTCATCAGGCTGGTGAGGACTGCAATTGGTTTCATCACAGATGGGTAAACAGAAAATGAGTTGCCCTGTGTTGTAGAATAAAGTCTATGTTAAGTCTGGGATGCAAACTAACATTTGTCAGCTCATCAAATTATAAACAGAACTCTGCATCTGAACATGCAGACCATCTACTTTGAGGTGCCTGGCACGAAGCTGGGGTGTTTGTGCTGACAGAGCTCAGCATCAAATGCGCAGCAAAGAAAGCAAGAAGTGATGAACCCACCTGGCAGACACCAGCACAACCCAGCAGCTCTCCATTCTGGGGAGAGATCTGCTCTCACAGGAGCATTTCTTCTTGCTGACCTTCCAGTTGCTAATATAGGCAGCAAACTAAAACTTGTAATTCTGTGCTAAAGGGCTGGTGACATTATTAGGCTAACAGAGCTCGTTGGCAGCACATTTGATATGAACCAGAAACCTCTGGTGCAATTACAGCCCTGCATAAAACACTGCGAAGATAATAGGACATATTAGCCAAGCAAAAGCAACAGAGGTCTGAAAAGGATTTTCAAGTTCTCTTTTTATTTAATGAGTGCAGACACGACTTTTACCTGGGGCTGCTCCTAACAATGAAGTGAAGGAGTAGGAAGGAAGCAGGTAAAAGGCAATAGGAAGGCAAGTTTTGAGGCTATTTGTCCTGCTGCCAGAAAAACATGAGAGAAGAAGAAAAATGCAAAGGAGATTGGAGAAGGGAAGAGATGAGAAACAAGACAGCAAGGTGTCTCATGGACTGCTTCTGAGTTATCTGCAAAATCAACTGCAGAAAGAAAACTCACATACAATTCAGCAGCAGTACACATTAATGCCATTGCTAACAGAGTGTGCTCCTCAGCTGCAGAAAGGGAGCGAACAAAAAGGTGGAGGACCACCAGCAAAGAGCAAGTCCCATTGGTTGCTTGACTTCATAGTACAACTGGTCTTAGGAAGCTAAGTCTTTTCAGTGTTCACTTAGAAGGCAGTTAAGTTATGTTAAGTCTGGGATGCAAACATAACATTTGTCAGCTCATCAAATTATAAACAGAACTCTGCATCTGAGTTTTCTGCGTCTTCTGCAGGAGCTCCTTATTGACTTAACTTTCGGAAATACATGAATTGAATATTGAAAAGACCAGTTGGCAGGCCACCTTGGAGCTGTATGACCTGTGTAGCCTCTGATGGGGGTGTGCCTGGTGACCCAAGGGGAGCACACTCCTCAATGGCAGTCTATCCCAGCCCTGACAGGAACCTGAGGGCATGTGGAGACCAGGAGGGTGATGGTCCCCTCCTCACCAGAGCTTTGCATCCACGTCCCTCTACCGAGAGCAAGATGTAACAGCAGAATGTCATGTGTTTGGACAGGGGACAGCTGTCCCTTCTAGTAATGGCTTATCCTTCTAGTACTGACTTCTTCCACTTCACTTCTCAGTCTTCAGGATTTTAACACATAACCTTCAATTTCAGTGTATTTGAGATCCCTGCTGTGTTGCAGCAATGTGATGGCATCTCACTGAAAATAACAAGAGAAGGCCTGACAGTCTTCCCCTGATGAGGTTTATGCTGCTATCAGATTCCCCTGCTGTATTACAGGCAGACCTGGAAACAGCACTGCTTTTGGCACTAATATAGTTCCAGATTGTCTGCATTATAATCTTGCATAAGCACTGTTGCCATCGTAGCATGTGTTAGCCATTCAAGTTTTGCAGTGCTGGCATACGAGAGGAGGAACCTCTGGAGCATGGAGCAGGCAGCTGGTATTCTGCCAGCAGCATCCAGGTCCATCTCCTTTACAGTGATGCAACAAGGAAGGGAATAAAGGCCAGTCGAGGAGAGGAACAGAGTTTGCTTTGGCACAGGTCTTGCCTTATTGTTGGAGAAACCAGCACTAAGAGATAACACTGCAAGTGCATGTTGAGCCCTCTCATGATTAATTGCAAAAATATTCTCGTGTGAGTAATGTTGCAGTTGACATTTCTAGTTGTGGACAAATGAAGAAATTAAAAGTTACAATTTTCCTGAGAGATAAATTGCTTTCATGTGTGACAGCTTTTTTATCATGCTATATACAGATGTAGGAGGCATATACATGCATGCATGTGCAAATGTGCCCCACATGAAATCAGCAAACAGGTGTTGTTGTACCTGTGATCTCACGTCAGAAAAAAAAAAAAAAAAAAGCAAGAAGTAAGTTGAGTATCTCTGTATCTGCATAAAAAAACTGAGCAGCAGTTACGTGGGCACGGCTCCTTGGAGTAACTCAGCTGGTGTATGTCAACACACCTTCATTAGAATAACGAGTACAGCTATTTTGTGCCGTTAGTGCTGGTGGCACAGTCCTGGCTTCACGTAAATCCTTGATGAAGATGGATGCATGCCCAGCGCCATCCCCAGGGGCCATTTTGCTCCCTCGGCTTTTAACCTCACTGTCCTGTGGGCAGCCTTCCACCTCCTTACCCATCTGATTCACTCTGTCTCCTGAGCACCCGCACCTCCACCCTCCTCCTAGTCCTCCATCCTCATCCTCCATCCTCATCTTTCTTCTTCATCTTTCTCCTCCTCCTCCATCCTAGTCTTCCTCCTAGTCCTCCATCCACATCTTTCTTCTCCATCCGCATCTTCATCTTCCTCTTCCACCCTTCTCCTCCTCCTCCTCCTCTTCCCCCTCCATGGGCCCCGCTCCGGGCTCCGCGCGGTGCGGGTGCCGAGCGCTAACCCCCGCCCCGTGCCCGGCGGCGTGTGCGGGTGTGCAATTGCACACTTCCTGCGGTGTGTGCGACCCGGCCCCGGTTTCCGGTAGCTGACAGCCGCCGCAGCCTGTCCCTGCCTCCTCCGGCGGTAGTGCCGCCGAGCCGGGCAGAGCGCACGGACGCGGACACAGACACGCACGGGAGGTGGAGGAGGAGGAGGGAAGAGGAGGAGGGACCGGAGCGCTCCCAGCACCATCACCGATCCCCCCATGCGATACGGGCGGCATCGCGCTGCGCCGCTCCCCCGCGGACAGGCACCTGCAGGTAGGGGACCCACCCTTGTGCGTGTGCCCCGGCGGGGGGGGGGGGGGGCTGCCTCCCTCCCCCCAGCTTTGTGCGCGGCGCGGGGCTCCCCGCCGGCTGCTGCCCACCCTCCCGGCCTTTGTGCTTGGGCGGGGGGAGGGCTCCGCGCCGCGGGTGGGGGGACGGGGCTGCGGGAGGGGGGTGGCCCCCCCGTGCGGAACAAATAAGGCGCTCAGCCGTCCCTGGGGCGAAGGGGGGTGCGGAGCTGGAGATTTGTCAGCCCGGGGATCCGGCCCGCGGGGAGCGGGGGACGCTCGGAGGGGCCTCGCGAAGTTGGGCTGTCAGCAGGCGGCGAGGGCAGAGCGCTGCGGGTCGGAGCTGTGAGGTTTGGCTCAGGCTTGGGGGAGGGCATCTTCCGGGCCTTAGGCAGCTCCGTTCAGATGTCGGGCAGCGGTGCTCCTCTGTAAGGGAATAAGTGTGACACGTGCGTTCAAACTCACCTCCCGTCCACGGCGTTAATGGTTATAAATATCCCGAGAGCAGGAGGCTACGGGCAGCACTCAACACACTGCCAGGATGCTTCCCTTCAAGTGAATGAGGACAGTCTCACAGGGATGCCAAGCAATGTACTGGTTAAAGATGCAGTCCCCGATATGCACCCAACTTCGAGTTCTGGAGTTGTTGATCTGTGAGGTTTGCCTCTGCATGCTGATTGTGCCATTGCCCCACTGTCCTGCTCAGAAACGAGGCCTCAGCAAGCAGTGCAGCAGCTAACACCAGCTCACCTGTGAGCTGCTGGGGACAGCGATGGCTCTGGGAGAGAGAGATGGGTCTAGACTCCACGTGCTTGCTAGCAGCAGTCACAACTTCAGTAACTCAGTTGATTACATCCCTGCTATCGGTCTTGATGGCAACTTTTCAGGCCAGTGATCAGGCATCTTCCAGCTTTTTTCTTCTTCAAACCAAACATCCCCTAAAGGAACACCAGGTGTTCCTCCTGCCCAGCCTGATGGGGCTGCAGCTGCATGGTGCTGCAGTTAGCCTAATCACTGCACACCCACTCACCTTTGTTCCTCTCAAGCCTGGAGCAAAAGGCCATTCTCCAGCTTTCTGCTGAAGTCTGTCAGCTGTCCAAAATGGATTCAGGAAAAACTGACAAACCAGCCTGGCAGTGCACCTGGATGAGTAGTGAATAGATAGGAACTCTGCCGGCGCCAATATACCCATGCCATGGTGATAACTGTACTGCAGCAGGACTCTTTCTACATCTGAGCAGTGCAGTATAACTGCTCACAGGACGATGATGGATTTGCAGATGACACTAGCCGGGCCCACGGCTCTGCTCTCCAAAGCTGTGCCCTTTCCTGTAGCACGAGGTGATGGGAAGCTTAGTGCCTTGGTGTGGCAGCTATGTTGGTCGTTTTATTGTGTTCCATCTCTGTGAAAAATACTGTAAAAGCAGTGTTTAGGTCAGATGTTTTGTTGATGAATCTGCCTGGTAGCTGAAAGGAACTTGAAAGATTCCAACAGTGCTGCTGTTTATGAGGCAGCCCCGTGGAGTGTGGCTGATTCCTCCTCAGCTCCCTGACCTTGGCTCTGATCTGCTGATTTATGGACTTTATTTACGGGCAGGACTGGCGAATCCTTTCACCAGGCAGGAATCACTGCATGTTTCCTAGGCAACGAGCACGGTGTGTGCCCTGACAGGACCTCAGCCCGTGGCTATGCTGTGGCCATGGCAGGCCATGAACTACACGCCAGGCCCAGTGCAGCAGTCCAGGTGGGGATGGGAGGAGAGGATGCCTGAGTGCAGTGAGAGCGAGCAGCGAGAGCACTGCCGCCCCGTTGTTCTGCCTCATCTCCCATCTTCCATTGCAGGTGTTGCCCATGTCTGGTCTTTATCACAGTTGTTCTGTTGCTGGATAGTTCCTTCAAGTTACTTTATTCTCTTTTCCTATTTATTGTCCAGCAAAAGGCAGTGGCTGCCATCATGCGTTCACTTGACAGGTGTTAGCTGAGAAACATCACGTGAACCCTGCTGGATCTAGGGTTTAGTCCTGTGAAAAGCTACAGGAACGGAAGTTTTCCAGTGAGTACGGAATCACAAGATTAGGTTTGTGGCATTCAGAGAGTGGGTACTGTGACCTTCTGCAAGCTTTTATTCATACTGCCGGAATTCAAAGTCATAATTTTCTAAAGACAGACAAAATATTTTCTATATGGAATTTATAAATAATACCAAATATAACTGGAAAATATAAGGGATGGGGAGGAGAAGAAGAGCCTCTTCCTTTTTCTGTACAGCTTCGTTTATTTCATCAGCCTTTTCATGTGGTCTGTCCTACTGTTCTTCTCTGTGATGCTCTACAAAGTGAGTGTCTTTGGTCAGTGTGGACAATCCAGCAAAAAGTAAAAAAGAGAAGCATCAATGGGCAGACATCCAAACCCACATATTGCTCAGCTTTGGCAAATGAATGGATGAGAAGTAGTTTTCTTTTTCTGAGCTGTAGTTTGAAAGCATTGTTATTTTGTCCCTCTGCCTATCAACAGCAGCATCGTAATGACGCTAAAAATGATGACTGAAAGAAGAGTGCAGGAAAGTATCCATGATAAAGCTGTCCTCTGTAGCAGGTTTATTCAAAATGTGGCGAAAGCCAGTGGCAACAGAATATATTAATTTCAGTTTGGGGTGTCAGTCCTCCCACAGCTTAAAGCCAGAGAGAAGAAAAATCCCAGATGATCTAGTGGCTTGTGTTGAAATTCGCTCTTTGCCCTGCTCAGTGACTGTCACCTGCAGTGTTAGAGGCAGTGGCGTTTCGAAGCAGGGTTTCCCCAGCGTGGAGGTGTCTGTGAACGAGGATGCTGCAGTCTGTTGTCGGAATCTGTTGTTGTGACTGCTGCTGCCAAATGATCATTCAGCCCTATCACCCAACTGATAACGAAGTTTCTGATGCACTCCTAAGGAACCTAGACGTTCTGCAGGTGGAGATTTCCACATGGTCAAGGGCTGGGAGGATTACAGGCTGTCTTGGGCAGTCATATAACAGCTGGCTCATTAGTGGCCCACAACAACTGCTGCTTTATTTTATATTTATTTTTATATACGTACATATATATGCATAATACAAAGAAGTATAAACATATATGTTTTATATATAATATCAAATGTATGCGTATGCAAATACACTATGTACTAAAAATACAATTGGATCTTTTATATATTACATGTATTATCATAGTTTATCAGAATATATCATATTAACATTATATACATATGTATATATTATATTTTGATATTACCATTATACCTATTCCATTCTATTTCATTCTATTTTATTCTCCATTCTGTCAGATGAAATGACAGGGAAAAGTCTCACAGGAAGGTGACTGGGTGGGCGAGTGACAGTTCTCCTGGACTTGGTCCTGCTGCCAGTCCTGCTCAGCACCTTCCAGAATGCTACAATGGAAGGAACAACTCTTGGTACAGCCTCTAGAGGTAACATGAGGCCAGAAGACATGGGAATAGAGCATCACATTTCAAAACCATCTCAGCAGGATGAGGATCTGGGCTGAAAATGATAGATGTGAGGTTTAAAATGAAGGCTTCTGCTCTGTGGTAGGATGAAACTAATGCTGAATTCACAGGCTGGGTAGCAATGCTATGAGCAAAAATTATACATCTGAAAAGGAAAAAAAGAAAGCAACCAGCAAATGCTGTGCCACCCACTAGATCAGGCTGTCCAGGGGCCCCATCCAACCTGGCTCTGAGTGTATCCACAGTTTCCCCAGCCAACCTGTTTCAGTGCCTCACCACACCTAGTGCAGAATTTCTTCCTAATGCCTAACCTAAATCTACCTTCTTTTAATTTAAAACCATTTCTCCTTGTCCTCTACCTACAGGCCTTGGTGCAAAGTCTCTCACCATCTTTCCTACAAGCACCCTTAAGCACTGAAGCTGCATCTGAACTTCCAAGTGCCTGTCATACATGATGTTGTGCTTTGAGCAGCACGTACATATGCTTCATCTATGCTCCAGTTGTGTGCGTACTTGCTTCTGTATGCAGGGAGTTTCCAACATGAGAGTTTCCATGAGGGACAGACATGTCCAAGACACACACTTAGTGTTGCAGGGTTTTTCTCCGTAATCCTGTAGTCACGCACTGTGATTTCTGTGCATCCAGTGTCCCTGCAGTCTAAGTACAGAGAGGAGAGGAGATATTCATGTTCTCTGCAAACTGTACTTCTGAAGCTGTGTAGAAAACTCTCATCGCCCTGTGATAGTTCGCAAAATTGGTTGCAACACACCATAAGGAGCCAACATATTTTAGCTGGTAACACTCCAAATGTCGTAGCTTAGAATTTGCAAAATATTGCAGGATGGAACAAAATTAATGAACAATTCTCAGCATGTAGAAGCTGACACTTTTGTTTTCTGTTTAATCTGTGATATTTTGATCCTTGCTGCTGAGCCTTTTTTGCTTGGATGACTCTGGTGTACTCATGAAGGATTTTCTGTTCTCCATCAGGCAAACTGTCACCCTACAGCAGTCCATGGTCACAGCAGATCATGTCACTGTGCACTGTGAGGTTAAATATTTGCTTAGATCTTACAGTAACTGCAAGCTTTTTATGGAGTCTTTTTCACATTTAACTAGGAAAGTGAATATTTCCTGTCTGAAATTTAAATTTCATGCTGTCATTTTCTTTAGCTCTTTTAGGGGGAAAAAAAATCATGCGTAGTTTTTGTTGTTGTTTTTGTTTTTAGTTAAAACATGTTTAACTTTCTTATCTGCAGTTACAAAACCAATCTTAGCTCTTACTCACTAACTCGTGTTACATGTTTTAAACCCAAGAGGCAAACATTTATTGTGCAAACAGTAAACTACAACTGACACTGTTCTGTAAAGGGCCTAGCATAGACTGTGCCAGATATATGAATCCTGACAATTTTAGTATACTTGATAAGTGTATCCTTGTACATATCCCATTCCGGGGAATATTTTGTTCTTGCCTAAACCTCA